GCCTGGGAGGCGGGTCCTGGGTCAGTCACCCCCATATTGCAGGTGGAGAGGGTGAGGACCAGAGAGATTAAGTAACTCGCGCAGAGCCATACAGTGGGAGAGCAGTGTACACCAGGGATTTGAATCCAGACCCTTCGGACCCCCCTGAGGGTTTGCGAGGGCCCCTAAACGGGAGGAAGGTGGGTTTGGAGGGCATGGGGGGCAAGGGAGGTGTGTGTGAGCCTGTGCATGTGCGTGTGCCAGTGTGTGTGTGTGTGTGTGCTTGTGTGCGTGTGGTGGGCAGGCAGAGGTGGCTGCGGAGACAGGCGCAGAGGACCAGGCGCAGGCGGAGCCCGCGAGCTAGCGGGGAGGTGGGGCTCGGCGCAGCCCGGGGAGCAGGGCCAGGCCTCGCTTAGGACGCTAATGAGAAGCAGATGGAGGAGATGGCCGGAAGCCCGGCCCTGCGACGTGGCGTCCTGCGGCCAGCCCCGGGCGGACCCCTCCGTGCCGTGCCAGCCGAGAAGGTGCGCTCCAATGGCAGCTGGCGCGCGGTGCTGGCGACTGCAGCGAGGCGCGGGACCCAGGAGGGTGTTGCTCCCTCGCTTGCCCTGCCGGGCGGGGAGGCTCAAACCTTGCTCCGCGAGGGCCGGGGCTGGGTGCGGCGGTGACAGCTGCGTGTGCCCAGCACCTTGAAGGACACTTAAGCACCGCAGCCCGACGGCTGTGCCGGTAGGTCTCAGATCAGCCGTGGGTGTGACCCTCAGCCCCTCTCCTTAGCAGCTCAGCAGAGAGCCCTTAACCTCTGCGAGCTTTGATTTCAAAGTGGGGATTCCAGGAGTACTTTAGGAAGGGCGTTTTGGCGCTCCCATACAGTATTTATTTAGCACTTACTGTATACTGGCCTTTTTTTTTTTTTCAGAGCTTTACTTTTTTACATACACATTGAATTTGTGCCACAAACCACTGAGCCAGGACTGCTATTGCTCCTGTGCTATGGGGGAAGAGACTGATGCCCAGAGAGGTTAAGCAACCTGCCCAGGGTCGTAGCCAGGAGGAGGCAGAGCCAGGCTTCAGACAGTTTGAGCTCGGCTCTGAAGCCATCACCACTTGCTGCCTCTGAAAGGGGAGGCGCTTAGCACAGTGCCTGGCTCCATACAAGGTGGTCATTGACGGGCCGGCGCTGTGGCACAGCAGGTTAAGCCACCATCTGCAGCACCAGCATCCCATATGGGCCCAGTTTGAGTTCCGGCTGCTCTGCTTCTGGTCCAGCTCTCTGTTATGGCCTGGGAAAGCAGCGGAAGATGGCCCAAATCCTTGGACCCCTGCACTCATGTGGGAGACCTGGAAGAAGCTCCTGGCTCCTGGCTTTAGCCTGACCCAGCTCTGGCCATTGCGGCCATTTGGGGAGTGAAACAACGGATGGACGATTTCTCTCTCTCTCTCTCTCTCTCTCTCTCTCTCTCTCTCTCTCTGTCACTCCTCCTAAAATAAAATCTTTGGGGAAAAAAAGTGAAATGATGACATTGTGTATCATTCATTGATTCATTCTTTCATTCAACAACTGTCCTATGTCCTTGCCTAAAATGTAGGCAGAGTAGGGAAGACCAGGACTCCAAGTCCATCATACTCCTGGTAGCCTGTTTAAGGGTGACAAGTAGAGCGCCCATTCACATGGTGGCCGGTTTAAGGACAAGAAGCAGAGCGCCCGTTCTTGTGAACTTGAGGACCAGGGGTTCCCTGTAGGAAACCTAATTTCAGGTGACACTGCTGCACAATCTCCTGGCAGTGGGGCTTTCCAGGCACCCTGGGGCCCTGACCTCCCTGCAGAACGCCTCTGCTCAACGCCCTGAGCTGTTGCTCCCCTAAACCCAGCGTGCAACAGCCTCCACATTGCCATGGTAACAACAGGAGACCCATTCTCTGTTCTCTTCCCACTCCAGGGTCAATACCGCCTGACCATGGCTGGATCCTTGTGAGTTCAGACTCTGTTCCCCTCTTATGAGGGGTGGGGTCATCTGGCTGTCTCTTCATCCCAGCCAGGGGAGGGGCCGGGAGGAAGGGACCCCCAAACTGTCTACCAGGAGCCAGTGGAGGACCTGCAGCCCCCAGCACCCGTTTCACCTGTCTCTCTTTACACTGCCTTTACTTTCTTCTCTTACCTCTTTCTCCCAAGGTGTTAAGCTGAGAGCCACAATCACAAGCCATGAGGGTGTTCCGGCCCCGCCCCCCCTTCCTTCACGAATCTGCCTTTCAGGGCAGACAGGCTCACTCTGCCAGCAGAATGACCAGGCTCCTGCTGCCTCCCCACTTCTGTGCACGCCCACCCCCCACGTCAGCCCTGAAAATCCAGACAACCTCCGTCTCTGCCAAGGGATCCTCTGAGTGTAGCTTTTACTGTCCCTTTCATCCATCTGCTCACCTCCCCTAATATTTTAAAAAAATATTTATTTATTTATTTGAGAGAGAGAGAGACAGAGACAGAGACAGAGAGGTCTTCCATCTGCTGGTTCACTCCCCAGTTGGCTGCAATAGCCAGAGCTGCGGCAATCCGAAGCCAGGAGCCAGGAGTTTCTTCTGGGTCTCCCATGTGGGTGCAGGGGCCCAAGGACTTGGGCCATTTTCCACTGCTTTTCCAGGCCATTAGCAGAGAGCTGGAGCAGCCGGGACACAAACCAGCCCCATATGGGATGCCGGTGCCACAGGCAGGGGCTTAGCCTACTACACCACAGTGCCAGTCCCTCATCTCCCCTAATATTGTCGTGAAAAGTTAGTGAAAAGCTTTCGAATGGGCACAACAAATAAAATGGTCACTGATGTCCAGTCTAGGTCACTCTCTGGGTCATCTCTACCTTTCTATGTATTTGAACTGTGTTACAATTCCATCATAGAAAAATGATCATGATGCTAATATTCGTGTTCAGATAATGCAAATGGACTGTGTCCAGTGGAATGCAATTGATTATTGCTTTGTGGGTCAGGTGTTCCTGCATCTGGTATAAATTGGTTTTGGCATTCCGCTGATCTAGGAAGGTTTCTCAAAGAGTCCATGGAGGCATAGATGCTTGACCTAGTGTTTAAGATGTCGGTTTAGACCCTATATCCTGTATCGTGGGGCATGGGTTCAATTCCTGCCTTTGACTCCTGATTCCAGCTTTCTGTTGGTGCAGACCCTGGGAGGCTGCAGTGATGGATGAAGTCACTGGGTCTCTGTCACCATATGGGAGACCAGGATGCAGGTCCTGCTTGCTGGCTTCAGCATAGTCCAGCCTCACTGTCTGTCTCTTGAATAAATATAAGTTTTGAAGTTTGTGGAAAATGGAAAGAAAAGATACATTGATTTTGATGCAATTGTTTTTTTAAAAAATTCTTTCATATGAGAGACCTTCAAAAATTCATGAAAATTTAATTTTATGAAAATACTATGCTTGGATTTCAAAGTCCTTTTATGCCAAAATAAGCTTTCAATTCTACTTTTCCAAAAACTTTTTGAAGTACCTTCATTTACGTTTGGTTCTTGGAATTCTCCTGTGCACTATTAGAACATCTTGACTAGTTCTCTGATTAATTTATGAATTAAATAAAATAGTTATATTTTTATAAGGGTCCTAATTCTGCCTTCCCCCTGAAATTTTTCTGTAGTGTTATTATTTCACTCTTTTTTTACCTAAGACTTTATTTATTTGAAAGGCAGAATTGCAGCAAGAGAGGAAGAGATGGACAGGGAGAGAGATCTCCCATTCTCTGGTTCACTCCCCAAATGGCCTCAATGGCCAGGGCTGGGCCAGGCTGAAGCCAGGAGCCAAGAGTTCCATCCTGGTCTCCCACATGGGTGGCAAAGACTCAAGCCCTTGGGCCACCTTTTGCTGCTTTCCCAGGCGCATTAGCAGGGAGCTGTATTGACAGTGGAGCAGCTGGCAGGGCTGGCGCTGTGGCGCAGTGGGTTAACACCCTGGCCTGAAGTGCCGGCATTCCATATGGGTGCCAGTTCTAGTCACGGCTGCTCCTCTTCCCATCCAGCTCCCTGCTATGGCCTGGGAAAACAGTAGAAAATGGCTCAAGTCCTTGGGCCCCTGCACCCCCATGGGAGACCTGGAGGAAGCTCCTGGCTCCTGGCTTCGGATCAGTGCAGCTCCGGCTGTGGCGGCCAATTGGGGAGTGAACCAGTGAATGGAAGACCTCTCTCTCTGCCTCTCCTTCTCTCCCTATGTCTCTACCTCTCTCTGTAACTCTGGCTTTCAAATAGATAAAATAAATCTTTAAAAAAAATAAAAAAGAAAGTGGAGCAGCTGGGACTGGGAACTGGCACTCATACGGGATGCCACTGTCACAAGCAGTGACAACCCCCTGGACCACAGCACAGGCCCCAATTATTTCACTCAAATCTTAAGAAAATAAAGGTTTTGCACATTCTAACAGTCAATGTTTTGGGGAGCAAGCAACAGAAATCAACCGTAGCTCATATTAAAAAAGAACCTGCTGGGAGATTACCGGTCGTCTTGCAGAAGCTACAGAAAGTCCAAAGACGTGGGCTTGGGACATGGATGAAGGCCATGGACACTTCGTGGGCAGGGACTACAGGCAGAGATGCCACAGGGCTGGGCTGGTTCAGAAACCCTCCCTGAACACTGCCCTGGCTGGACATTGCTGCTGCTGACCTCCAGCCAACCACCTCCGTCACCAGCCCAGAATGGGTGCTATGAGGTCCCCGAGTGTTTCCAGCTCTGGCTCAAGACAGAGCCTCTGGGCGGGACTGTCCAGGTGTCTGTGCAGAGCTCTGTGAATACCCTTCTCTTGCCTCCTGGAACAGCGCGCTGGGGCTGTCCCACCAAGATGCACACAGGGGGCGCAGCTGTGCAGTGGTCTCGGTCTTCTAAGTGGCCTGCTGCCACATACAGTAAGGAGTGGGTCATTTCGGACCTTGCGCAGGCTCCGAACAGGATGCCGGGGGAACATACAGAACTAGACGATGTGCAAGCCGGATAGGATCGCACGCAGCAGCCGCCGCCTGGGGCACCTCTCACCTCATGCCCGGAGACTCCGGACTGCAGGAGCCGGAAGGTGCCGTGTGGCCTGGAAGATGGTCACGGTCTTGCGGTGTGGTCTGGAGATTGTCGAACAAACGCTCCTGAAACGGGGCCCGCCCACTTACCCGGCTCTGGTTGTCGTCGCTGGTGGGAGGGAATGGCCATTGGCTGACTGAGGCCAGAGCATCCTGAGTGGCGTCTGGTTTCTCCGCTGCTTCCCAGTTTCCCTGGCATCAGCCCTCTGTGTTCTGCTGACGTGGCCGCAGAGAGCTGGCAGGCAGCGTTTCCTGAGCGGCCGCTTGCAGAACTGAAACCTTGCCCTTGCGAATCCTGTGCAAGGCGCAGCTGTGAAGAGGGGCGAGCGCCAGGCCAAGGGCAGCCTTCCAGCAGCCTCTGGAGACCCAAAGGCTGGGGTGCCATGAGCTTGGTCCAGGGGATGCCTAGCCCGCAGCTCCAACGCGTCCCCTGTCACAGGCCCTTTGCCGTCTCTGTGCTGGGTGGTTGACCTCCATTCTCCCTCTCCTGTTTCTTCGTTCTCTCCCTCCCATACCCTCATTTCCACAAGGCAGGGAGACTGCAGCTGGGACCCAGGGTGACTCTGCTCACCTTGGGGACAGCAAGGTCCCACACTTATTGGCCCCCAGCCTGCACGTATGGTGGTGTGCCGTGGGGGTGAAGGTAAAGCACATGGCCTCCTCTGCAGCGGGAGGTCCTTGTGGTCAGCACAGGTGCTTCAGAAAGGTGAGGGGGGAGCCGGGTGTCCCGGCTGTCTGTCCCCTGTGCAGGGGACTTGCTCTTCTCTGTCCTGGCGGCCCCTCCCAATGGACCAGCTACACCCGTGGGCACTGCCCTCCCTCCCTGGGGGACGAGGTGCATGCCCCACCATCACTCTGCTCCTGGAGCCTCTTGGGGACTCAGTTTCTCCATTAGTAAAATGGGAATGATGAGAGAATCCACATCCTGGGGCTGTGACATCACACGGCTTTTGTTGCAGGTTGCTCTTGCCTGTCGTCGTCGTCGTCTTCTTCTTCTTCTTCTTCTTCTTCTTCTTCTTCTTCTTCTTCTTCTTCTTTTTTTTTTTTTTTTACAGGCAGAGTGGACAGTGAGAGAGAGAGACAGAGAGAAAGGTCTTCCTTTTCGCCGTTGGTTCACCCTCCAATGGCCGCCGTGGCAGGCACGCTTATCCTGGTCTCCCATGGGGTGCAGGGCCCAAGCACATGGGCCATCCTCCACTGCACTCCCGGGCCACAGCAGAGAGCTGGCCTGGAAGAGGGGCAACCGGGACAGAATCCGGTGCCCCGACCGGGACTAGAACCCGGTGTGCCAGTGCCGCGAGGCGGAGGATTAGCCTAGTGAGCCGCAGCGCCGCCCTATGTCGTCGTTGTCGTCTTCTTCTTTTTTTTTTTTTAAGGTTTACTTATTCATTTGATACGCAGAGTTCCAGACAGAGAGGGACAGACAGAAAAATATCTTCCATCCACTGGTTTATGCCCCAGATGGCTGCAGTGGCTTAGGCTGTGCAGACTGAAGCCAGAAGTTTCATCGGGTCTCCCACATGGGTGCAGGGGCCCAAGCTCTTGGGCCATCTTTCTCTGATTTCCCAGGCTCATTAGCAGGGAGTTGGATTTGCAGTGGAGGAGCAACCAGGACCCGAACCGGCGCCCATATGGGATGCTGGCATCACAGGAGGTGGCTTAGCCCGTGTGCCACAATGCTGGCCTCATTACCCATCTTGTTCTGAACATCCGGGTGCTGTTTGGGTGAGACGTGTCATCTTCAAGAACCTCCAACAGGGGTCCTCTTGCCCATCTGCTGAGGCATCCTGAAGGCATTGCTTAGAAGGAGGTGCTGTGGTTTAACAGTGTGGAAGCCAAATCCCCACTCTGGGAGCGCTGGCAGGAGGGGCCTTCTCACCCCTGTAGGAGAGCCAGCCCAGCTCAGTTGCCTTTCTGCCCTCTGCCGTGTAAGGAGGCAGCGTCCTCAGAAGGCAGGGACCAGGCCTTCTCCAGACCCTGAACCCACCAGCACCTTGATCTTGGACACCTTGCTTTGTGAGAAATGATTTTCTGATCCTTATGAATTGCCCGGGCTGTGGTATTTCATTACAGCAGCACAAAAGGACTGAGGCTGGGTGACTGAACCCAGATGATTCGAACCCGTTTCCCAAAAGCATGGCATCAGTCAGCGTTGCCCTGGGAGTGTGAGTCTCCTAAGGACGCTTAGGAAAGTCAGACCCTCCGTGTGGCATTGTGGGAGCCAGCACCGGCACCTCCCGGCTGAAAGGAACAGCCAGCTGCCCTAATGTTATGCAAATAGGTGCTCCAGGCTTGGAATAAAAATTCCAGCGAAAGCATCCTGCAGATTCCAAAAATGCTGGGTGGCCAAGAGCGGGAAGGGGGAGGGAAGACAACGTGTCCAGGAGACTCCAGAGGACTCAAAAGGTGGCTTCAACGACAAAGACGGAGACCCTGAGAGCAAGCATGGATTGGAAGAGTTGGAATGAAATTGAGTCACGGAATAAGGGCAAAGAATGCAGCTTTCCTGCGTTAATTCGTTGTTTCCCATAATGTGTGTCCAGAAGCCTGTCTGGTAAGAAAGACTGGAAACGTTTTAGACACATATTTAACTCTTTCATCCACTTTGCAAAAAGGTTATATACTCGAGCAGGGATGTTTTGAGTGGGGAGCGATCACATTTTGGGGTGTCTTAGATGTGCCACAGCAGATGCTGTGGATGCTTTTTTGGAAGTCTTGACACCCCCAACTGCTTGAGCTTGTAACTCTGCCCCAGGGCTTCTGCACTGGCGATGGCCACAAGTCCCAGGGCGCTGGCGTTGTGCACCCCACGCACATCCCCAACCAACGACTGACGGGCTTGGGATTTCCATTCTGCAGCCCTGGGACGGCCGTGGGCTCAGAGCCTAAGCCACTGCTTGGGGCGCCAGCATCCCAGATCAGAGCGCCTGGGTTGGTGTCCTGGCTCAGTTCTTGACTCCAGATTCCTGCTAATGTGCAGCCTGGGAGGCAGTGGTGATGGCCCGTGGAGACTTGGATTGCGTTCCTGGGTCCCGGACATTTGGGGAGTGAAGCAGTCTCTCTCTGTCTGCTACTCAAGAAAGAAGCAGAGAAAGAAAGAAAGAAAGAAGAAAGGAAACTCCACAGCTCCCTCATTCCAGGATAAGGAGATGCTGAACTCTTTATGGAAAAATAGAATTAAAGGCTAAATTTATCTTGGTGCAAAAAAAAAAAAATGAAATCCTTGCATAGTTTTTCATAATACTCGTTTTCCATGAACTGTGTGGTCCGCACTGGCTTCCCAATTTCCTTAGGGGCAACCGTGTGGCTCCAGTGGCCCCGGTAGTCTCTTGCTCCACACTGCACTCCTCCCTGGCTGCCCTCTGTTCTCTGCCTGCCCTGCTGGCACTGCCAAGTCTCCCTCTATAGAAAGTGGATGGATTCAGATCCCTGTGCCAGTCTGCTCTTAAGAAAGCCAACCTGCAGCAGGCATATATGATAATGAATAGTGATTACGATCGCTCTCATCATGATTTTGATAAAGATCAGGGAAAAGAAGTGACTGTTGTGGGTTCTCTGACCCCAGAGCTTGTGGGAGTCAGATTGGTGGGGTTCTGCTCAGGAAGGGGGGCATCTGACTGTCCGTGTCAAAGTGATATCTCCCTCCCTCCCTCTCTCTCTCTCTCAATTATATGCTTGAGCAGCTAAGCCAAAATTGGTCCATCTCGAGCAATTAAAAGCTTCCTTTGCCAGACCTTGGGGATTTCTTTCTGATCAATGAGAAAAACACCGCAGCTGGAAACCAGCCAAACCTGAGAACAGGGTAATCACACCGAGCTGCCTAGATGGACCCAATGAAACTGGCTTCTATTTGAGATGTCTTAATTTTATTTTTATTTTTGAAAGGGGATGAGAGAGAGAGTGCTTTTGCATCCACTGGTTCATTCCCCAACTGCCCATAACAGTGGGGCAGTGGGAGTTGGGCAAAGGCAAAAGCCAGGAGCCCAGGAACTCCATCTGGTCTCCCATCTGGGTGGCAGGGGTCCAAGTACTTGAGTCGTCACCTGCTACTTCCCAGGGTGTGCATTAGCAGGAAGCTGGATTAGAAAGGAAGTGGCACTCTGATGGGAGAGGCTTGCATCCCAAGTGGCATCTTAACTGCTGCACCAAATGCCTGCCCCTTCCCATATGTCTTTAGAAGATCCTTATGGAGGATTTAGACACATCAGAGTACCTGGGTTCAGTTCCCGGCCCCAGCTCCTGCCTTTGTGCCTGCCAATGCAGACCCTGGGAGCCAAGTGACTGGGGTCTTGCCACACCTTGTGGGAGACCTGGGTGGAGTTCCCAGCTGCAGGCTTAATCTGAGCCCATTCCTGTCTGTTATGGGGGAGTTGTCCAGCAGATGGGGACTGTCTATGACTCTCTCCCTCTCTCTCTCTGCCTTTCAAATAAATAAATCATTCTTGTTTGCCAACATGGAGTGAGAAGAAAATTCTCATTAGTTTTCCAGCCCTTTTGTCTCCAGTTTGGGATGTATTTGTGAAAATGTGTATGGAGCACCACTTTTCAACTCAGAAAGCATGGTGAGATGTTTGTTATTTTATTTATGATTTATAGTAAAATAATAACAAAAATCCCATAACATGCGGTTGCAATGTGCTGGTCTCTGTGCTCAGAGCTGTGCATGCATTGTCCCTGCTGACTTTAATGATACCAAGGACTAGTCATGGTTTTCTCTGATTTATTGATTCAGCTCTGCAGGCTCAGAGAGGTCAAGGAACTTGTCTGAGATCACACAGCCAGAAAATAGTCGAAGAAGGCTGCACACCCAGGCGGTCAGACCTTAGAGCCAGGGTTCTTAACCATGGAAAGGACAATGTGGCAGCCTCCACGGCCCCATGGGCACCTTGACTTACCTTCCCCCAGGTGTTTTTTTTTTTTTTTTTTGACAGGCAGAGTGGACAGTGAGAGAGACAGAGAGAAAGGTCTTCCTGGGGCCGGTGCCGCGGCTCACTAGGCTAATCCTCCGCTTTGTGGCGCCGGCACACCGGGTTCTAGTCCCGGTCGGGGCGCCGGATTCTGTCCCGGTTGCTCCTCTTCCAGGCCAGCTCTCTGCTGTGGCCAGGGAGTGCAGTGGAGGATGGCCCAAGTCCTTGGGCCCTGCACCCCATGGGAGACCAGGAGAAGTACCTTGCTCCTGCCATCGGATCCAGGGAATGAGCACGGCCGCGGT